GTGGGGAGAAAGGACGTGTGGGGAGAAGGGACGTGTGGGGAGAAAGGACGTGTGGGGAGAGGGAATGTGTGGGGAGAAGGGACGTGTGGGGAGAGAGGGGATGTGTGGGGAGAGAGGGGACGTGTGGGGAGAGAGGGGACGTGTGGGGAGAAGGAGCACTGTGTGGGGAGAAGGGACGTGTGGGGAGGGAGCCCTGTGCCGTGGGGCGCTATGGGATGCTGTGGGGTGCCGTGGGTTGCCATGAGGTGCTATGGGGTATGGGGTGCAGTGGGGTGCTATGGGCGTTATGGGGCGCTATGTGGTATGGGGTGCCATGAGGTGCCGTGGCCGCTATGGGGCGCTGTGGAGTATGGGGTGCCATGAGGCGCTATGGGGCGCTGTGGGGTGCCATGAGGTGCTGTGGCCGCTATGGGGCGCTGTGGGGTATGGGGTGCCATGAGGTGCCGTGGCCGCTATGGGGCGCTGTGGAGTATGGGGTGCCATGAGGCGCTATGGGGCGCTGTGGGGTGCCATGAGGTGCTGTGGCCGCTATGGGGCGCTGTGGGGTATGGGGTGCCATGAGGTGCCGTGGCCGCTATGGGGCGCTGTGGGGCGCTATGGGGTATGGGGTGCCATGAGGCGCTATGGCCGCGATGTGGCGCTGTGGGCACTGACCCTGCAGGCGGAAGGCGGGGGAGAAACCGCAGCCCCGCAGACGCAGCGCGGTGAGCGCGGGGCAGAGCGGCAGCAGCAGCGACAGAGAGCGCCCCCCAGCGTCCCCCAGAGGGTTCAGGCTCAGGTCCAGCTCCTCCAGGCTCTGCGGGGACACGGACAGGGGGTCAGGGATTTTGGGGACAAACACAAGGTTTAGGGGACAAGGAAAGGGTTTTTGGGGACAGACACAAGGTTTTGGGGATGAGGAGGGGGATTTTTGGGGACAGACGCGAGGTTTTGGGGACAAGGAAAGGGTTTTGGGGACAGACACAAGGTTTTGGGGATGAGGAGGGGGATTTTTGGGGACAGACGCGAGGTTTTGGGGACAAGGAAAGGGTTTTGGGGACAGACACAAGGTTTTGGGGGTGAGGAGGGGGATTTTTGGGGACAGACGCGAGGTTTTGGGGACAAGGAAAGGGTTTTGGGGACAGACACAAGGTTTTGGGGGTGAGGAGGGGGATTTTTGGGGACAGAGGCTTTTTGGGGAAAGATGCAAAGTTTAGGGGACAAGAAAAGGGTTTTGGGGACAAGGAAAGGGCTTTTGGGGACAAGGAAAAGGTTTTGGGGACAAGGAAAAGGTTTTTTTGGGGAGAAGGAAAAGGATTTTGGGGACAGGGAAAAGGTTTTGGGGACGAGAAAAAGGTTTTTGGGGACAGACACGAGATTTTGGGGATGAAGGAAGGGGTTTGGGGACAGACACCAGGTTTTGGGATGAGGAGGGGGGGTTTGGGTATGGACATGAGGTTTTGGGGATGAGGAAAGGGTTTTTGGGGAGAAGGAAAAGGATTTTGTGGACAGACACGAGGTTTTGGGGGCGAGGAAAGGCTTTTTGGGGACAGAGGAGAGGTTTTGGGCCACCCCACTCAGCCAGCCCCAGGCCACCAACTCCCTTGGGGTCAGAGCCATGTCCCCCCATGTCCCCTCCCGTGTCACCCCCCCCCAATCCCCACCTGCAGGGCAGGGCTGGTGTGGGGGGGCTGGGGGAGCAGCTGCTGCAGCCCCTGGGGTCCCAGCTGGTTTTGGGGACAGACACAAGGTTTTGGGGATGAGGAGGGGGGGTGAGGGCCCACCTGCAGGGCAGGGCTGGTGTGGGGGGGCTGGGGGAGCAGCTGCTGCAGCCCCTGGGGTCCCAGCTGGTTCCCCGCCAGGTCCAGGAGGGTGAGGGCTGGCAGGGTGGCCAGCGTGGCCAGCAGCTGGGTGGCCATGGCGTCGGGGAGCCCGCAGCCCCGCAGCCGGAGCTGCCGCAGCGGTGCCTGCAGCTTGAGGGCCCGGAGAAGGGGGGGGAGATGGGGGGGGCGCAGAGCCAGCCCCCCAAAACCCCCCAACTCCAGCACCGGGCTCTGCTCCTGCAGCTCCGTCACCTTCAAACAGACGCGAGGTTTTGGGACAAGGAAAGGGTTTTGGGGACAGACACAAGGTTTTGGGGATGAGGAGGGGGATTTTTGGGGACAGACGCGAGGTTTTGGGGACAAGGAAAGGGTTTTGGGGACAGACAGGGTTTTGAGGACAAGGAAAAGGTTTTTTGGGGAAAGATGCTAAGTTTAGGGGACAAGGAAAAGGTTTGGGGAGAAGGAAACGGTTTTGCGGACAAGAAAAAGGTTTTTGGGGACAGACACAAGATTTTGGGGATAAGGAAAGGGGTTTGGGGATGAGAAAAAGGTTTTTGGGGACAGACACGAGATTTTGGGGACGAGGAAAGGGATTTTGGGGCCAGCCACAAGGTTTAGGGGACAAGGGAAGGGTTTTTGGGGACAGACACAAGGTTTTGGGGACAGACACAAGGATCTGGGGACAAGGAAAGGGCTTTTGGGGACAGACACAAGGTTTTGGGGACAGATGGTTTTGGGGACAGACACAAGGTTTTGGGGACAAGGAAAGGAGTTTTTGGGGAGAGATGCAAAGTTTAGGGGACAAGGAAAAGGTTTTTGGGACAAGGAAAGGGCTTTTGGGGACGAGAAAAAGGTTTTTGGGGACAAGAAAAAGGTTTTGAGGATGAGGAGGGGGGGTTGGGGACAGACACGAGGTTTTGGGGACAAGGAAAAGGTTTTTGGGACAAGGAAAGGGTTTTTTGGGGGAGAAGGAAAAGGATTTTGGGGACAGACACAAGGTTTTGGGGAGAAGGAAAGGGTTTGGGGATGAGGAAAGGGATTTGGGGGACAGATGCAAAGTTTAGGGGACAAGGAAAGGGATTTTGGGGACAGACAGAAGGTTTAGGGGACAAGGAAAGGGGGTTTTGGGGGAGAAAGAAAAGGATTTTGGGGACAGCCACAAGGTTTTGGGGACAAGGAAAGGGTTTTTGGGGAGAAGGAAAAGGATTTTGGGGACAGCCACAAGGTTTTGGGGACAGCCACAAGGTTTTGGGGATGAGGAGGGGGGGTGAGGGCCCACC